TGGACAGTTTGGACTCTATGGGGATGGTAGCAAGGGATGCTACCATGGCGTGGAGGTAGAGGTCATGTCACAGGTCCGAGTCCTAGTCCTGCTGACCTTTGCCGCATGTCTCTCCCTTTCTTCTAACCTTCCAAGTCGTAGCCACTGAGTAAAATTAGCCAATCAAAGCACCTGCTGAGTGAACAGAGAAACTCTCAGTTCTTCTTCCTTTTAGCTGAGATCAGAGCTGCATTCAACATGAAGGATTGCAGCAACGCCTGGTTTTCATCTGCACCCAGCAACACCCAGCAATACCTCACTGCAGTGGGAAAAATATTCAACTATTCACCATTAACCCCATTTTCATATCTTTGCAAAGAGAGAACAGTTCATCACTGGGCAGCGTTCGTTCCTCCTCATTTACAATAATGGAAAGTAGGCGGAGTCAAAACAAATTACAGACATTTAGGTTAAATAGTAACGTAATGAATAAACCTGGAGAAGAATCTGTTTTGTTAGTGGAATAAGGGTTTTTTCTTATCTACAAACACCCTCACACAGAGGAATGCTGTGACCTTGCAGGTGAAAAAGGCTGAGTGAAAACTTTTACAGTGAGTCAATAGCAGGGGTGGGCAATTCCAGTTCCTGGGGGCCGGTATCCTGCAACTTTTAGATGTGCCTTTGGTTCAACGCACCTAAATCAAGTACTCAGATAATTGAGAGGAGTCTGCAGGAACCGACTGCATACTGAAGAGGTAACTCAGCCATTTGATTCAGGTGTGTTGGACCAAGGATGGATCTAAAAGTTGCAGGATACCGGCCCCCAGGAACTGGAATTGCCCACCCCTGGTCAATAGGATAAATTAATATATGAAATAAGAGAAACAACATTTTTTGACCACACTCACCAAGACCCTGCACAGGCGTTGGACCCGGTTTCTCTATAATTACAAATGTTTTATGAAAATTTTAAAGACTCGTGCATCTCTGAAGGAAGACCTCCTCTTGGGAAATCACATCACAATCTTATGGTTTATAAACCACTTTATAAGAGACAACCTGCAATAAAAAGAACCGTGAGAAGATGGTCACAGGAAGCTGAAGAATCCCTGCAAGGTTCTGAGGCTACCGACCTGGATGCTCTGTCAGTCACATGGAGAGGACATCAATGCAATGACCGAGTGACTGATTACATCACCTCCTGTGTAGATAACAGCATCCCTACCAGAACAGGGAAACGCTTCCAAATAATAGACCATGGATCACAGGTGATCTGAAGGAGCTGATCAACAACTAAAAGCTGCCTTTAAGAAGGAAGACTGGGAATGAATGAGGAGAATACAGAAGCAACTTAAGGTCGAGATCAGAGAAAACGAGGAGGCAAAGAGGAAGAGGCTGGAAAACACGCTCCACCAGAAAAATATCAGAGATGAAGAAGATCTCAGCAGAGCAGCTCTGTGGGATCTACAGCACCTCTTAACCCATTTCCACTACCTGCGATCGCTCCCAGCACGGTAACTAGCATAACTGGCACGCACAACTGAACCAGACCGTGCCAGACCCAACCGATCCGTGCTAAACTGGTACTAGGTCATCAGTAGGGCTCGGTGCGGTTCAGTTCGGGCTTGGTTTTCAGATAACATGGAGCGCATGAGCAGACCGCATCATCTCGCTACAGTCAAGCAAATCCACCAAAGCCCGCCGCCTTCGCCTGACCCTTCTAGAACGACGGAATAACACGGTCATAACCAAACTTCCTGAATGTTACGGGTGCCGCCATGTTGGTTTGCTTGTTTCCCTTTAGAGAGCAGTAGTGCCATAGATCGCCACTAGGAGGCGAGGAACCGTGCTAGCATGGTGTGTGAATGGAACCGAGCTGGGCACGGTTAACTGATCCAGACTAACGTTAGCCTGTCTGCGGCAGCCGAGGCTAACGTGATTTGCCTTTAGGATTAGCAAACAATCGGTACTCTGAAGCTAGCTAGTCAAACAACGCTTTAATTTCCTAATTACAAACATCCTCGTGAATTAGCATTAGCCAACAGTTCAGCTAATGTTAGGGATGCTAGTCCGTTACGGTTTAGCCTAACNCTTTAATTTCCTAATTACAAACATCCTCGTGAATTAGCATTAGCCAACAGTTCAGCTAATGTTAGGGATGCTAGTCCGTTACGGTTTAGCCTAACAATGATTCTAGTTCGACAGTAATGGGTTAGGAGAATATATCACTATTGAGGTGTTGTAAATGTTTTGTTGTATAAAATGTTGTTATTTTACATATCGTTTCATTGAATCATTAAAATGATGAATTCCAATCATAATATTATATACGTAAATAGATTAAACATAAATATAGAGATGACATCAGTTTGTATTTAAATTTATATTTAGCATTTGCCTTAAACTGTGAAGAAAGGGACAAACGTCTCTCTCAAATTAATATTCTTTATTTGAATATTTAATTGAAATGAAACTAAGTTTTCTGTTAGCTTGATCTGTGAAGCTATGAAACATAAACTGTGTTCAGTTATTTATTATAATATTGTAATGGCGCCCCTCCCCATAATACTATGGGATGTTTTCCTAGCATCAGATGGCCTCGCTGTTGTTTCATTGATGCTTTGGAAAATGTGTGAATTATAAAATATTAATAATATAACTGCCACATTGATCCGATGGTCGAGTCCTTGGATGATTACGTCTGACTTCTATCTCATTCTGGAAAGATGTTGGTTTCAGGGATGATAACGGTGAACCAGATCACCATAGAAACCAGGAGCTTCTGTTTGTTCCTGCAGTTCGACTTCATTGGATGGATACCCCCCACCCCAGTCTCTCTAGAACGTTCCACCTCCATCCAGGAAGGGAGCGTCTACAGAGACCGCTCTGCTGGACACGCTTCCTGCTATGAACACCGCCGTGCATGGGATGCTAACAGTCACTGCTGTAGTGAGAGATAATGATGGATGCTGAGTGAACTATTCCTGAGTCCGTCCACATGGATGATACCACTTCTCACTTAGACAGTCACGAGTTCCTTCTATAAATGTCTCTTTGAACAGCTAGAAACAGCCAGACGTGGGTCAGAACCAACCAGAATTGAGAGCCTTCTTGTGGACTCCTTATTCCTGACCACAGTCCAGAGCATAACTGGTACCATGCCAGTAAATCTCTTGGTCCGTCTCCCACTGGTTCCGACAGACCAGGATGCCGGGTTACTTAAAGTCCTCCCTGGAGGTAGATCTGGATCCCAGACCCAGAGGGGGAAGTCTAGTTTTTTCTGAGGCAGAACCTCAGCTGCAGACCGATCCAACACATGCTGAACACACTCATAACGGAGCAGCAGAACGCGTCACAACAGCTCGTCCTTGGATACCACAAACTGTCTGCATTAATGTTCCGCTTTGTGTTCAGAGAAGAAGAAAGCTCCCTGTTACCTTTATTCTGGAAGCCTCCCCCACAAATCCTCAATGGAAATAATCAGGAGCCTTCTCCAGATCCACAGAACAAACCAACTCCTCAGCAGCTGGCGGTCAGAAGGAATCCCAAACTTTTCCTCAAAGAGTCCATTTCACAAAGCAGGTTTACTGAAAGAGAGTTTCCTCATCCTCTGTTTCTGTTACCATGGTAACA